CAATCAGTAGACCGAAATTATCAGAAATCATAAATATGGAAATTCAGACTACTAATGGGACTGTCTTTCGTTAAGTAAGAAAGAAGAAGTCAACGGTCATTTTGTCCACCCTACAGCCCTCCCCCGGTCGATAATAAAATGATAGAAACATATGCAGAGCCCCCCCCCCCCAAACCAACAAACAACAAAAGATTATGCAGCCTACTACGTTACACCATGTGATACTTTTGAAGCTACTTTTCTTCTGAAAAACTACTTTTGAAGGTACTTGATTGACTCTTGCGAGTTAACAAGCAGTAAGCTCGCAACACTTGCAGACCTTGATTACTTAAACAAAAATTTATGTCTTGTGAAGAATATTGTACCCAAAAAATACAACAATAAATTAATAATTGAAAATATGAAAGGAAAGAAGCTTTACTTAAACATCTTCCTGATCATGTCAAGAGCTATTTCATCCTCAGAACGTTTTACAGGCTTCTTTTTGGGTTGGTGGTCATTATGAGAAGAAATTTGCCTGAGTGGCTTGTTCATCTGTAAAATTTCAAGGAAACAAGCAAATGTCAAGTAATCTTCACAAAGAGCAAAGCGGATACCACATTTGAAATATATGCAGATATAAGGATATACCTGAGGTTTTGAGGGTGCTGCTGACTGTTTTGAAATTATTTTAGGCTTATTTGGTTCGTTGGCCCCCTTCCTCTGTTCCATATGTTTTCTTGGATCAGATGAGTGCATCTTTGAAGAGGGTAGCTTCTGCCCATTGGGTAAGGGATCCTTTGCACCTGACACAGAAGCCTTTCTCTCTAAGGAGACAACTGGAGTTTTGGGAGGCAAAGTTTTTGCCACAGGCCGGCCAGGACCAATTCCATTGTTGCTACCGACATGCTTTCTGGAATCTGTTGGCTTCAAACTGGATTTACTAGAAGAAGCTGAATTCAAAATCAATGGCTTAGAATGCACTGGACCATTCACGGAACTGGATCTAGAATGCACTTGGCCATTCATGGAACCTGTTCTAGCATGATTTGTCTGCCCATTCAAGGAACCTGACCCAGACCTGGGATGATGCATTTGGCCATTAAAAGCACCTGCTTT